TGCCCCCCCCCCCCCTCCCTCTGGGCTTCTGACTCTTTCTGCAACATTTCTAGTGCTACTCCATGGCTCGTTCTTACTGCTGTCTTTGAGCCATACCCCTGATCACAGAGTATGTAAGATTTAACAACTAGCCTTTTCGGTTAAGGGTGAAATATTTCGGAGACCCCTTGCTCAAGTTGTGCACATTAAAGTCCCTTGGGGGGTCTAGAATCAATAAGATTAGGCTTTGGCTGCCACCCGGGCAAATTTCAAAATTAATTCCTACCAAACTGAAAATGCTTAATCTGTCCCACGCGCTCAAATAACCGTATGCATTTGCGAGGGCCGCAAAACACTAACCAGTATAAAACAAGCAAACAAACACACAAACGAACTGTATATATATGTATATATATACATATCGTTCAAAATGAGGCAGCTTGTTAGGGTTCAAACAACTGTTGATTTGGCGACATCTTGAGTTTCACTCACACTTACAGGAATATTCTTTGGAGTTGATGGTTTACGAAGCTGGATTGTACTTCTGTATTCATTTATTTATCTATTTATTACTATTTTGAAAACATTTTTGTGTATTTGCTTTGGTAATTATTTAATCCCTATTACAAGCGTCACTACCCATCCCCTCACCCGCCCACCCTCAAAACCTCACGCATTGTTTGCCTCTCCCCAGTGAAGCTCCTCATCCTCTCTCTTGCGGTCTTGGGCCTCACAATCTCCAACTGTCCTCTTGGCCAGGGGGCGGAGAACTGCAGCAACAAGTGTGAAAAGGAGTGTGGCGGGAGAAAACAATGTGAGTACATTGGCGGCGAGATGGGCAAACCAATTGGGTGCGATGACAGCTGCTACAAAAAGTGCACGTACGATTGCGAGTGTGAGAAGGTGTGTTCAGCGGTGTGTGAAACGGCCGAGGACAGCCCTTCGTGTGAGATAGATTGTCCTATGACCGGGGAGTGTAGTCATCTGAAGGCACAGAGTAACAATGAAGAAAGTGATGGCTCCAGTGACAGTGACAGTGACAGTGAAGGAGCTGGTGAAGGTGGGGACGCTCCTGCTCCAGCCCCATCTGTCATTTTGGGCTGAGAAGAAACTGAAGTGACTCCTTTCGAAGATTATATATTCAGTCAGTGATAGGATTATCTTGTAATTTTGAGGCGCATGTAATGTGTGACACAATTGAAACTTTGGCATGTGCAGTTACGAAATTAAGTTTGTGATGATATAATACATTTTTTGTTCTTTCCATTTCTCAAGTTTGCCTTCTACTCTGGAGGCTTTACTTTGGAGGTATCAGCTACGAGTTGTATTGAAAGCGGAATACATTAATGGTGTATTTTAAAAAGCAAATATGTTCTGTTTTCAAAAGTCTGCCAATGTTTAACTTTGTTTACGACACCCAAGTTTGGGAAAGTCCACGGTTTGCTGATCTGCGACTACAAAAGTTCTCCATTCCAAATTCTTAGAACTGTGTTTATGAAAGGGTTGCAGTAATTATAACATTTGTGTTTGTCAATAAAATTTAAAACCAACCATTTTGTCAAATTTTCTCTTTATCATTTCGTGTCTATTTTAAACTGAGACAATTGTTTTGATTATACATAACGATGTTGTGCCAATTTGCATATCATTTTTGCAAACAGTTTTTATTTCCTGAATTTGAGAAACATATTCATGAAAGGGACCTCAATGACTTACAAGAGTATAGCTTTCAGTTACCAGATGTCTGAAAAAAAGAGAACACGTTTACTGGACAATAACTCAGTAATATGCGTACTATCGATTTCAACAACACTTAATGCAAATAAAACTCAACTGGGTTAGAGTCACATTTATTAATATAAAGAAAATCTATTTGTATCTTCGAAAATACTACGGATTGTTTTGTTTTATTAAATTTCATTCCAACCAAAATTGAGGCACACGCAAGACGTTGTTACTTCTTATACAAAATCAACAAACTATATGCGTATGTATGCACTGAAGAACAAAAAGATAGAAAATGTATAATGCTACATAAACTCAGGGAAGGTCTTGGCTAATTACGTTGTATGCTCCAGGTGTTGGCCATTTCTCTCGAGAGAGCGCGGCTGAGAATTTTGAATAACCCTGTGGCATGTTTCTGGATCAATTCCTTAGGCAGCCTATTCAATATTGAGTTTAAATAGTTCGATTGCTTGTGGGTTGTTTCAGCCGACTCTGTATTTAAAAATTCTGAAAGAAAATAATGAATAGGGTTCACGTTGAGGAAATGTGGTTACCACTCATTTGCAACTTTCCCATTTCGAGGTCGTCTCCCAAACCTTTCTTGCTACCGTGCAAGGGCGACTGTTGACGTGTAGGTTGTGGTTCCATGTTCCTGAAACCAGGCTTTCTCAATGGTATAATATCTTCTCTTTACACAATTTCTCTTAAACATTCTCAGCGCAGTGAGACAAAATATCCAGCAGTGAATGATGATCATGGTTTTACCGTCCCCACTGTCAAGCCCGAACAGGCCGATCACCCCCCCCCCCTCCCCGGTAGCTGAGTGATATCAAGAAGTAAAGTTTTGCATGGGTTGGGGCGGCGGGGGCGATGTTGATTGAAATTTTTAGACGTAAGATTCATTGAATGTCTTCATAATAACAAATTTGACCTCCCCTTGACTGTACTTTATTTGTTCGAAGTTTGTTTCTTTATTTATTGGTTCGGATATATGTAAATTATTTATACAGTTCAGGTCTTTGTACAAATGCCCCTCCCCACCCCCCCCCCCCCATAAAACTAAAAACTAAATGTAAATTTAAAAAATCTTAGGTTATGCAGTCTTGATGTACGACAATGACCAGCAAGAAGGTGCAGTTAGCATAGTTGGTTTCAAACTGGAAAATGGTGCGGATGGTGCTGGCTCCAAGCCTCAAACGTGGTCCTGAATTTAACTTGTTTGAGAAATTTTCATAGCTCTCCCGTGTGCTTGAATGCTATCGGAGACAAGCCTTAAATTCAGAATGCAAACCTCTTTAAAAGCTTTGCATTGTTGCAATGAACAATAAACCATAAAATCTCCAAACAAATTTGGTGGAGTTTAGCAGGGGTTGTTTTTTTTTACCTTCCAGGAAAATATATTTTCCCTCCTCTTGGAGAGCGTTTTCTTCAAAGCCGTCCTTCCAGTATCATAATATAGCAGGTAAAATCCCATTAAGGGCGGGCGTGAAAAGGGCAGCATCAGTTTAAGTTGGTTTTTCTCAAAAGTATATAGTAAGACGCACGTGTTTTCTTCTTCTTCTTGTTGTTGTTGCTGCTGAAATTGTTGTTGTTGTTGCTGCTGCTATTCTTGCTGTTGTTGTTGTTGCTGTTGATGTTATTGATGTTGTGGTTGTTGTGTTGTTTGATTGTTTGTTTTGTTTGTTTGGTTGGTTGGTTGGTTGGTTGTTTGTTCGCTCGTTTGTTTATTTGTTTGTTTTGTGACTGTTGGGAGGGGGGGGGGGTCACAATGAGGGAAATTGACCTATTTCCATTCAATTGTAAAAATTACTTGGTAGAAGGGAATACTTCTTAAAAATATTTCTTTGCCTTCCGATCATGAATATTCTTGTGCTTGTGGAAATAAGAGTGATATATCTCCACAACGACTTTATGAACGACAACATCAAAGAATGGTCTTGTTTGTTGGAAAGAGAACTCTCTGACGGGACAACAGACAAATAGACACGAGAAAAAATCTTGTTATCTTCTGATTTATCCATCCCCCACCCCCACCGTTGGACGACGCAGGTCAAGAGACGAGGGAAGAAGGGAAGTGAGCTTCATTTTGAGTTCCAAAAGAGCAGTGATGTTCAGTTTACCCCAAAAAAGAGAGAGAGAGAGAGAAATGTTAACTGAATTTCGATTCCAGCTAGGATAAATTTCTTTTACCCGTGTAATTCACCAATTTAGCCATTAATAAGACTATGAGATGAGACAGCTCTATCCCATGATAGCAGGCTGTCAGTTTGTATTGTACGTGGATACAGAATACTCCCATTCAAAATTACAAAATATAGGTGGTTCACGAGCGTCCCGTTTCTATTGCTGAACAATTATAACTTTAAGAGCCACACGTTCACTAGGTAAAATCTGGAATACGAATCCTGTTTCATGCTCTTTTTTTCAAATTCTACAGGTCTTTTCACAAGAACTTAGGTTCGACAACACACATAAATTTTATAACGTATGTAAAGTACATAACGCTCTTGAGATTCTTTAAAATGACATGGTCGTACAAAGTCCAACTGTTCCAAACGCTAACACATGTCGAACTCTTATAGGTTGCCTCATTATTTCCCTGTCCGTTCCCCTTGCTCAGCCAGCCGAAAAAAACAAAACGACAAAGTGTCTCATTAGCTATACTTTTAATCGATTGTTACAGATGGAACACTTTCGATAGCCACATCGTAAGCTCCGAGTCAAATTATTTGTTCTAGAATACATTTACTGTTGCCGTGGTAACATGTTTGATCCTGGGCTGGCCTTGCAACTTCATACAATATGAATTAAACCCCAGAGCCCCCTGCTGTGTTTTCCCCCACTTTTTACTTCTCTGACTGTTATAACACTTAATGTGTGAAAACGTTAGCACTGCAGGGGATGGTCGCATCCCGTTACACTTAGCACTCGACTTTATTGTCTCTCGTTGTGGGCTCAGCCTACCTACCAGCACAGTGTCTGCGAAGTCTAATAAGGTAATGGCATCGGTGTGTAAGGGCTAAACACCGAGGGAAATACGCTAGACGACGACGGAGTAAGTACTGGAGTGGCGGGGAAGGGTGAACAGGTGAACGTTTTAGCTTTTGATTGTCATTGGCAGGAACTGACGTCATAAGTCCTCGGAGAGCGGCGTAGAAGCAGGCGTACGTGTTTATTTACCTCTGACACCCTTGTGGAATATTGACGTCATACTTGGTTTTTGTATTGGCGTCATCGCTTCTTCCAACCTACTTTGTTCCGGTTTTTAGGGGAATAACATGGTGCTTTGTCATAAACATTTTGTGTCTCCTCCGGTCAAAATGATATACACGTCTGCTCTACGCAGGAATCAAAAACACTTTGGGCTAAACTTTAGCTTGACAGGGTTTGACTTCAAATCGCTCCTTTGGACATATTTGATGAAGTACCTGGTATTGTGGCACACCTGCTGCCATTTAGAAGAGCCTGAAGCTACACCAGTACCTCACGTTGACGTTTCTGGAGAGGAAGTCTAGGACAATAACTATTATATTTCGATGAGAATTGATTGGGTGATGGGGATAAGGGAAACACTAAAAAAGAAACAGAAAGACTAATCTGTTCAATATCCAGCATAAATCGGCTTCCTGGTCTATCCTTCTATTCAAAACAATTTGTCTACAGAAGCAAATTGACACCGTAACAGCCATGTAGTGCAGGGAGAGGGAGCGGTGGCGGAGCTCGTCTCAGAAGCGAGAAGTCCGGGTTCGAGCCTCGGTTCGGACACGGATTTTTTCGCCCTCATCTACCCACCCAGCAGCAATGGGTACCTCTCTTCGAGTTGGGGAGGTAAAGGCAGCGTGGAAAAGAACTGGCTACCCTACCACAATATGTCGAAGGCCCAGGAAGTTATCTCATTAACAAGGCAATCCCCAATGTCCGGAACGGATGAGGGAACAGCTTTACTTTTTTTAAAGACAGGGAAATAGCAAGACGGACTGATAAGAGCAACAGATGGGATGAACAAAAACAGAGCCTACAGGTGGTGTCTTCAACCACCAGCAAGGCACCATCCTCAATACATTGAAATAGAATTGGACAATGTGTATAGAAAACCAAACAGAGAACGGGTAAAACGCCGCAAGTACATTACAGAATAAAACACGTTTTCTTTAATTTTGTTGTTAACGTTGAACCCTTGACTGCATTCAACGAGGGGAATTATATATGAGTGCAGAGCTTGGTCCTTAGGGATACCAGGTAGAGATGCAATAATATCTGTCCAAGAGAACAAAAACTCAGAAGCCAATTCGGATTTATTTGAACGTCAAACTTCTACCAGGAAGATCTTGCCAGGAAAGCATTGTGCAGTGACTCCGGTAGTATAATATTTTAAAACACTGAAGATCGGAATGAAACAAAATACAGATTTCTGTGCGTATTAGAGAAGAGGTTAGTGGTGAGTCAGAACGCTTTTTTGTATGTCTCATCGTTATTTCGACTCAATAAAGCTTGGATTAAGTGAATCAGGGTAATTGAAAACACGAACGGAGTAAAAGAACAAAGACTACAAACACACACACAAATATACACACACACATACACACACACACACACACACACACACACACACACACACACACACACACACACATACGTGCACGCAGGCGTGAGGAAAAGAGAAACAACATAACTCAATCAACTCATTTTTATAAAAGCTTTTCTTCCTGTTCAGAAATGACGTTTCATCAAGCCGGGTATATTCATAAGAGAACAGTTGCTGCTTAGTACAATTATTTCTGATCTCACTATCTGCGATGAAATTGATTTTTTTTTTCTAATAGAGCCTGATTACACCATGATAAAACTGTCCTTTCAATTCTACTTTCCACCTAAAATATAGATGAATTTTCGAGCATAATATGATGGAGGAGGCATACAGAACATGTCTTCGTATTCTGATTATTCCAATCAGCGCTGATTGAGGTTACTCGTGTTGTATTTAGTCATTATAATCAGTCTGAAATGCTACAACTACAAGACTTTCTTCACGTTTCTTTCTTGCTGGTCTCAGCTGGTGCGGGCACGGCTCCAACAGATCGCTTGGATCTCTTGCACAATCTACAGCAAGGCCAAGACTGAGCGAACGGCTCTTGGTGCATCTGATAAAGACAGCACGAGCAAGCTCTGCCTTTGGCTCGCCAATCGCTGACCTCGGGTTGAAGGGGCATTGAAAGGAGGTCATGGTCACTGCTGCGGCCGCCTTCGTTATAATATAGCTCTGGTCCGTTCCTCAGGAGTTCAGGAGCCTCATTTTTGTTGTCTGATCTTGCCCCGCTTCTCTTTCCAAGCCTGTTGATTGTTCAAGGGAAATATCAGAAATAAAAGTAATAAGAAATAATACAAAGCAGGCAAAATAGAATGTCGACCCCCCCCCCCCAACCCCCAACCTCTTCCAACCCTCTCTTCAGATGAGTTAAAGACGTCTTTTGCTTATATCACCGAGGTCAAGTAATATCCGAATGAAGGGTTCAAGTTTTCCCTTACCACAGACCAAATGCTAAAACCAGGAATAATAAGTATTAGAGCAAACTATATGACGTCGTATCAAAAAGGAGGAAATATTGGGGAGGGGGGTTAGAGTCTTGTAGATAGACAGGCATATGCACAGTTTTACAGTTTAAAAGAATAATAAAAATAAAAGGCCTATAATTGTCAACAATAAAGAAAGTAGTGGATCTTTCAGAACTGTTGATCTTTTCTTTTTTTTTTCTTTTTTTTTTGGATTTCGTTATACTATTTTGTAGTTTAGTTGGGTTTGATGAAAGCTTGACTTTCTTACCTCATCACTCCCGAGCAACCTAGACTGCGCTTAAATCCGACAAACTCTTCAAAACTAGAGTGAAAACAAGAAAACTGAGCCAAAGCCTCTCTCTATTTTCCGAAAGAAAGAGACTAATAGGGGCGAAACTTATATTTAACTCATGAACGTCTATGAACTTGTGCTCGGTACATGTATCAATAAGCGAAGAACAAAATCACGCTCAAGAAGAAGGAAACGGAATTGCTTCATCCACATAATGAGCCAAATCAATACCCAAGCACTAAAGGATACACGGTGATATACTCGTAGATATAAGTAGAGTACAGAGGAGGGGAAGCAATGACGTTGAAGCATGATGGGCACTATGGACCGATAATGAGCGTAACTTTTTTTCGGAGTAAACTGGGTAAATTCTGAAGGAGGTTACAACTGTTAAAGGTTTTATCAGTAAATGAGGAGTCCAATGGTAAAAACGGGCATAGTCACAAATTGAAAATCGTGAGGGTATCAATTTTGAACTCTTGTTGACCCATAACTGTATTTCTGTTCAACTGGGGGTTGACTATAGTTGTTAGATTTCCTATTCAACAAATATAACAATATACTACAAATCAAACAAATATGAAGTTATGAGTCCATAAGCTTTTAAAATTGACACCCTCACAATTTCTCTTTTGTGGCTATGCCTGTTTTGCCCGTGGACTTACCAGGAAGTAGAGATTGTTTCAGATTATTTTCCGATCTACAGGGATAATGATATAGACTGTAAAGCGCATAGAGATTGCTTGTGAGCGGGGATCAGCGCTGTACAGACGCAAAATTATGTTAACTATTATCATAGTTTAGATTTTTTTTTTCAGTTGAGAAAAAAAATGCCGATGTCTAAAACGAAACGGCACTGAAAAATTAAAAACAAAAAGACAAAAAAATGTCCTCTCGCAATCTGATTTAATAGAATAGCTTTTATCGTGAGACAATAAATGTTTGCAAACTTGACCTTACCTCTGCATGCACTGAAAGCAACAGTTGCTATTGAAGGAATTGGAACAGCAGCTGCACGATATCTGATTCATCCTCTTGCTGGTGAAAGAATGCGGTGAGTAATACAGCTGTTGGCCACTCCCACGCCGTGTGCGCATGTCCAGGAAGACACCTGTGTCCGAGTCAAGGGCCGAGCTCGCAATTAATGGTCTCAGGTCCTCGTCTCTGTACGGTGAGCTCAGCGCACTTCCCAGACATAGGACTGCAACGACGAGAGCGGGGATAGTCCTGACGAAAGGCGATAAATAATGGGGAAAATTCTTGAGTTTATTTTTAGGAAATATATTACATATATAAATATAAATATTTATATATATTTAGAGAGAGAGAGAGATAGATAGATCGATAGATAGATAGATAGATAGATAGATAGATAGATAGATAGATAGATAGATAGATAGGTAGATAGATAGATAGATAGATAGATAGATAGATAGATAGATAGATAGATAGATAGATAGATAGATAGATAGATAGATAGATAGACGTTTGGAAGCCTCAACAGAAAAATTTTTTTGTTAGATAAATTATCATGTCTTGTTTGGAGATTTTTCAACAACCTTTTACGCAATTCTCCCAAAGTATTGGATCCTTTACAGCTTTAATTATAGTAAGTTCAAAAACTTTAGGTTGAAGTTCGATTATGGTTATCCTTATGCTTAAGTTTAAGACCAGTGTTAATTAGCGCAAGTAGAGTATGTAAGAAGCAGCCCGCACTTGTCATCGACTGTCTGCCGAGTGGCTAGCTGGGCTACTGTAGTACCAGGGAGCCATAGATTATAAGGCGGGTTTCTTGAAAGGATTTAACAACCCACACACAGCAAATAATGTGTACCAGATACATATTAAAAACAATGATGATGATGATGATGATGATGATGATGATGATGATGATGATGATGATGATGGTAATGACGTTAATTGTAATAGTAATATAAGTTCCGAGTGTTCACATAGATGAAATGATTCCTGACAGTAAAAAAGTGAGCACTTTTTCAGGATTGGCCTAGGGATTGGGTGTCTTCAACAAGTTTCTTTTTTTTTTCTTTCAAGATGCAGTTATTATAAAGCTAAGACAGTCTTGGTTTTGAGAGGTTTCAGAGAATTACTGTTTCTGATCCCCAATCCTGAAAGGTGCACACTTCTTTTTTTTTTTCCTTTTTTTAAAATGAAGGGGTAGGAAAGGAGCCGAGAGGGGATTAGAAAGGAGCGTGTAATACGGTAAGAGACACACATAAAGACATGTGCATAAGGCATAAACATAGTCAGAAACACTTGAGTCTTCCCTGTAGTGACAACAGAGTGGGTCCCAAATATCTCGGGGCTTTTGGTTGTTTTTGTTGGGGGGTTTTGTTTGTTTGTTTGTTTTGAGGTTGTTGTTTTTTTGTTTGTTTGGGGTTTGTTTTTTTGTTTTTGTGGGGTTGCACTTTTTGGAGTAAATACAGATTTGCTTGTTGCACTGATATGGCCTTTCCGTGACGGACGCTATTCCTGTATCATTCATCCATTTACATGTTCGTCCCTAGACATTTGCAAGCGAGGCGTAGGGCTCTCATAGTCTTAGCCTCAAGACAGACTCTATTTTTTTTTCTGTTTTGCTTAGATGTCCCATACAAAGTACTGAAGATATCTACGTGTGCCAAATACGGACTGAAGTATTTATAGAAATTATATGAAAAGCTGCTTTGTAGAAAGAAAGTCTTTCCTTTCTGGGTTTTTTAATTTATTTTTTTGTTCCGAATTATAATTACATGTAATTGCTATTTATTATAGGACTCCCGCCCCACCCCCCCCCCCCCCCCCAAAGAAAAACTATCCAGTTCTTTAAACGCAAATTCTCTATAAATACTTACTGCCCAAATACTGATATGTCTATTTACTTTAATTCAACACCGACGGGTATGTCGAATTGGATTGATAAAATCCAAGATATTCAAAAAAAAAGAGGAAAATCAGAACGGGACTTTAAAAACAAAATTTATGTTCAGAAAGAAGGAAAAAAGGGAAGGGCACGGTTACCGTCCCTACGACCCAAGACACAATATTCTCGATTCTTCAATATAGCAAATAGAGATTGAAATTTCCCCCCATTAAGCGAGTACGCTGAGTGAGTTCCACTCAAAAACCTCTATATAAGCTTTTTATTTTTTTTAAATAAGTTTCCGCTGAATCCTTTTCTCCTCAATTAAGCAGAAGAAATTTTCTGTTATTTGCTCAGTAGCAGTTGCCTATTGGCGATGCTATTTTTAGGATTTGTTTTCTTCTTCTTTTTTTTTTAACAGGAAACGATTGTGAACTTATATAATGCCATGCTGTTGTTGTTCTTTTTTGTTTGTTTTTTGTTTGTTTTTTGGGGTTTGTTTGTTTGTTGTTGTTTTATGGCGGGGTGTTTTGGGGGTTTGTTTGTTTTTGTTTTGTTTGTTGGGGTTGTTGATATTTATTTTTATTTTTTGGGGGGGAAGTTACTTTCACTAATATGCACAGTTAAAAAGCCTTTAATCAATTCATAACGATTATACAATTGAGAAACAAATGTAATGTTTTAGGCCACTTTGCGCATAAGTAATGTTAATTTAGAGGTAGGCTGCATCGAATCTGCCTGTCAGGACCAACCAGGCCGGAGCTGCATCATCATCCAGTGCCAGATCTGCGACAGACATCGGCGATCATGGTTTTCCATTCATTTCTTTGCTCGGATGCTCTCAAAGGCTGCATACAGCTTCTTAATAGAAAGACGTGGATGCTTGATAAGAATATTGTCGAGGATCGAACGTTTGTCTCCTGCGTGTAATTCCGAATCATTACACCGCCCACCAGATCCATATAGAAAGCTCACTACAATTGTGAAAATTGTGTAGCTTATTAATTGATCTTTCATTCTCATTAATTCAAATAAAAAGCTTTCTCTCACTTGTTCTAAACTATTTAAGTACAAGATGACCTGAGAAAACCTAGAAAAAAATATTTAGAAGCCTCAACACAATGACTCTCGTTTAGCATAGAACGATTTTTACCTGCGTTTGTGATGTAGCGGTTAGGCGATTTGCCGCTGCACACAGAAGACCGAAGTTTGATTCTCTTCCTAGAAAAATTATAAAAGTTATATCCCTTTTAGGCCGGGTTGGCCCTGACAGGCCATATCAAAACTGAGTCTTAAAAATTGTGAAATTGTATATTATTAATCGTTTAACGCCCTTATCAACACTGTCAGATTATTTAAAAGGCGGGACCTCCGAGTTTAACGTCCATCTCCGAAAGGACCAAGCCAAGTGGAAAATTCATGTGAAGTGCCTTTCCCAAGGACACAACGTCGGACCGAGCTGAGGCTCGAACCCCCGAACAGGTAATCTCACGTCTACGAGTCCGGCAGCCTAGCCATTAGGCACCGACGCCACTACTGAGTCTTGGGTGATCTAAATTTTGTCGATAGGCCGATAGGAGTATATAATACTAACATTTTTTAAAGAGAATAGAGAACGATAGTCACTTGACCCACAACTGATACAAAAAAGAGACTTGACTCCATAACACTTCGTCTGGATACTGCCTTGTGCCTGTCTTTCATCAAAACCAAGACCAACTGGATATATCAGACGGCTCGTTTCCGGCCACAACCCACGAAGAAGATGTGCCTTCTCTAAAATTATCTCGCCTCTTCGTTTCTGATTATGGCGGATGAAAACTAAAAAAGTTAATAATCCTCAACCGCCAAGGGCTGGACAGGTCTTGTGACACTTTTTCCACGCCTGTCCTGGACATGATGACAGAGTGCAAGATGACAAGATTAAGTTGTTTTTTGTTGCTTTTTTGTTGCTTTTTGTGGGGTTTTTTGTTTGTTTGTTGTTGTCTTTTTTGGGGGGGGTTGGGTTGTTTTTGTTTTTGTTTTTTTGTTTTGTGGGGGGGGGGTTGGGGGGGGGGGGTTCAGAATGCTTCTAAGGCAGCACAAGAGAGAATGAGATGCCTGCAAAGTAATCTGATTTTATTGAACATTTGGAGAGATATGAGGAAGGGTATAGTATAACTTCTCGATTCTTTTTTGTCTGTTTATAAAAGTGTGGTCTCAATAATCAAACTTTTCCTTTCGGACAATTATTATATTTTCTGACAAAATCATTTTTCTGTTTGAAATTCGAGAAGTAAAAAAGGAAAATACACCGGTTTTATGAGGAGTCCCTTGGCTCATCTCCTTTAAACGATGAAAGGCTATTTATATTCCCCTTGCTATATGCCTTGCATTAACGCCATGTAGAGATATTGATGGGCCCTACCCTCTAAAGAATATAATATTAATTATTAATAATAGTTGCCTTTATATAGCGCATATCCATGTTCTACGTGCACTTTACAGCAGACCCTACAACACTCAGAAACATTCTCGGTTTCATGGGAAGCATATAGTGCAAGCTGTTTATTCGCCCTCAAGCGTTAACAAAATGTTAAGATCTTTAGCCATCTATAAATCTTTCAGGGTACCAACCCAGAGCAGAAAATGAATAAGCGTGTTGAAGTCGGGGATACATTCATTTGTAATGTAAACGGTATAGGTTTAACGCTCCTCAATACTGTGAGGTTATCAAAAACCTCTGAATTTGACGTCCCTCTCCGATAGGACCCAACCATATGGGTGGAGAGCCTCTAAAAAACCAAAACTGCTCAAGTTCAGATTGCCACATTGGAGATTCGAACCAAGATTATTCGCTGCGTAGTCCAGCATCATACCAACTCAGAGAAGAGAACGCAAGGAGAGACACAAGAGCATCATAAAGAAAGGTAATATAAACGACACAACAAACGATCAGTACTGAGAGGCGAGAGAGAATAATGACAGATCTATATCTCATCAACACCACTCTGGCAATTCGTAAAGACACGAGGAAGGAGGGGGAACAATACATAACATTACGTTAATGTGTCTCGTTGTCTTCATTGTTATTCAACATTAACTTACGTGCTTTGTCATATTGCTCAAAATTACACAAAAATAAACGTTTCAAGAAACTAGACATTACCGAGGGTTTATAGGTTTCTAAAACAATTAAGTTACAAGGGAGGGCATCAGACAGAAATGGAAGAGTTATTGTGTAGGCGTCGAGAACACCAGGGAATTGCGGGGGCCCATATCAACCCTATACGTGATCTTGCCCCAGAGCACAAATGTCTTTTGAGGGCCAATAAAGTATTAAAAAATGGGATTTTCTCTGATGTCGTGACTCCAATTCAATTCTCAT